CTACTAAGGCCTCAAATCTCCTTTACCAGTCTCGTAAAGTGGGCGAGAATTTTAGTCATTTTATGTCATTCAATGCATTGCATAAATGAAACTTGAATCTTTCTCCATGAAATATTATCAAGATTTCACGATACCCTTGAATCTCACATGGTCTTGCCTCCCAAGGGGCTTGCTCATCCAAAGCAGTCTGTAGATTCTACCTGGCACGAGTTTCATCCAACGAGATTCGAAACTGGGTCATGTTCATCAATTTTCAGAGTTAACACTTCGAAATACAGCCCAAGATGTCTTTTAGTTACAGAGTAGATGCTGGCTTCAAAGCAAGTCATTTGATTGTGTGAAATTCACATCCGTCTTTCATCATCTTAAGTTACCTGAAGCCTGGTGATAACTTTGAACCTTACCCATTTATACATACTTTACTGGCATGTCTTTGTGCCCAGTGCAATTTAGCAATGCCGGAAACGATAACAGGCTTCCGGAATCGCAAAACAATGTAAGATCGGGTGATGATATGTGGCAGAGAGTAGCACATGTTTTGAGCTCATGCGAAATCTCTGGCAAACTTTTGGTAATTTTCCTAGGATGGGTTGTGACCTTATTGTGAGTTCGTGTGATACCCCATAGGCTGGGTCGACTGTTCGATCCACGCACATGATAGTATGGTGGAACGGATGTACACTTTGGCGCTTGGGGTGAAGAATGGATAATATCAACTTGGTGCTCCGGTGAGCGTAGCTTCTCTATTTCTAATAATTGTTAAGGAGTTAAATCGTATAAACATTTTATCTTCCCTATTAAAGAAATCTTATTTGGGTTAACACTAGACTGATAGAACCCTAAAGTTGTATTCTCAATTGAAGCATAAAAAACGGACAAAAAAGCAATCCGGTAGTAGCAATAAAAATTTCCCTAAATATTGGATAAATATTATAATTTACCCTTATATAAATATGAAATATATTATCATTAGTTGGATAAGCTAATATCCAACAATACGCAAAATTAGTATTCGAAAATAAATTATTTTGTACATCAAGTACAAATAAGAAAAATGCCTAACTTCTACGCGTATAATTAATATTTTAGTAAAATAAACATGATTATTATCACTTTACAAACTTTAATACATTTATTTAACAATAGAATATTCTTATCAGCCAATAAAAATTGCAGAAAAAACATAAAAATCTTAAATTCTTACAAATGATAAAATAGCCTTAAGAAAGAGTAATCAACAAAAAAATAAATAAAACGATTGAAACTATGTCAAGTATGTCATGACACTCACTTCTTTTTGACCCCAATTGGCCAGAGACCCCCTCGCCTATTTCCACTGTTGGCCAACTCCTCTTCACCGATTTTCAATCCTTGTCGGCTCTGGTTGTCATGACCTGCCTCCTCACTCGGCCAGTCTATCTTGAAGGGTCGTGATAGCACTCGGCCGGCCTCTTCTCCGAGTCGTCGCCCTGCTACGAGGTTGTCTTGCCCGGCTCGCAGCTCTCTTTGGCTGTACGAACTCGACGGCTGAGGACTGTCTGAGACTGGACATGGACCTATGAAGCTCCGCTCTGAGGCGGAGGGGCTCGGGAGGCCGACAAGGGGCGGTGGGGCCTCCTGCGCCTCGAGCTGGTGCCTCAACCAAGTCGGCTGTACCGCGAGATCGCGTTGTCCAGACGACTGGCCCAAGGCCGAACCAGACCTCGGTTCCTCATCTCCAAGAATTTCGCTCGCCAGCCCAGACCCACAAGACGAGATTGAAGGTTGGCAGATGAGACTGGGACAGATGGACTTCTTCGGTCTGCGATTCAGAAGGTTTTGTGAGTTGGATTGTGCTTTCACGAGATTGATCAACTCGCCGGCCAGACTACGTTTGTGTGCCTTCTGGAGAGGTAATGACAAGAGGGTTTAAGCACTTAGAGATGATTTAAGGATATTTTGAGATCACTTTCATTCCATGTGGAAGTATGCCTCTTCTAAGATGTTGACTAAGTTTCTTTTTACCCCATCATAATTCTTAATATTTTGAAATAAATTAAATGGATAATCGTTGTTAGATAACTTTTTTCATTTGAATTTTCTATTCATTTCGTTTAAACAGATCTAGAAAGCGTTTAATTTTTATTTTCTCTAAAACTAGAGTGCCAAGTAATCATCAAAATATCGCATAATTACTGTTGGCTGCTAAGGTGACGCTTTGAATTTTTTCTCCAACTTGCCTGAGTAGACATGTGATGTATTCACCCTATTTAGTTTAAGGTGATGAACGACTGGTAGTAGAATTTTCCCACAATGATATGAGTTGAGCTGACGTCTCCATTGAATTTCACATAGACTTGCTTTCCCAAAAGTTGTTCGCATCCCGGCTGGG